TAATATTCAGAAAAGCTCACCATTTATTTCACAGTCACGGCAGAGTTCCCGAATGCCTTCCAGAGCTGATCTTTACAGATGGCATTTGAGAAGTCCACTCACGCGTGTTTCCTGTGCAGTATGATGTTGAATGTGGAGGAGACACGCACAGAGAAAGGAAAATGAAGGGAAGGTGGAGAACAGGCGCTTCACAGGGCCCCTCCTCATCCATGCCTGGAGGAGAGGAAGGTTGCTTAGAAGCATGCGCTAGTTTATGTGACTCCACCTTCATCCCCTATCCATGCCTGGAGAGAGGAAGGAGTTGCATCGAAGCACACACTAGCTTGTGCTGCCTGGTCTTGGGGAATGACTAAATGCAGGGTCCTCACTATCTCCTTTACCTCCATCCAGATTGCCTAGATGCATAACAGTGTGACTAAGGATGTACAAGAGACCCATGTTGGTTAAAAGGCAATGACGTCATTACACAGAACCCTTGCCTTTGGGTCTATGCAACTTGCATTTGCTATTCTGAGGTGGCGGTGGAGACAAAGGCATAGGCACTGCCTTTGTGGGGTTCACTAGTCACTGAATAGGTATGAGACATCAAATCCTGATAGTTATTTTTGTCAGACCCGAGTGTTTCAAATCCAGATACTCCAGATGGCAACTAGACACGAGGCTGTAGCCAATGGGAGAAGCTGTGTTGTGAGCAATTTGGGGAAAATATGCTATTAGGGAGAAGTGGCAAGAAGTTCCTGTCAAATGAGTATGATAATCCCGCTTAGAATTTAAATCGTTGTTATTTTCTTAGTGATGAGCACTAGCATGTCTGGCATGAACGTCCTCTTAAAAGGTTGTAAACACGTATTGTCTATAACCATGGGAGAAAAACCAGGTTGTCCAAAAACGTAGGACGCTCATCTTACCCAAAATACCAAGCTAATTAGTAGAGGTGAAAATATCTATCTGTCTTTATCACCCTCACCAAGTTCTGATCTAGCGCTGGATTGCTAGAATTTGGCAGGAAACTCAAACGCCCATAAGTGTACCTGTCAACCTACTGCTTGACCCTGCTTCTGTATACACAAGCCAGTAAGCATAACAAAATGGGGATTAGGTTTGGCTGGCCAGGGTGGATACAGTTCAGCTGTTGTGTGGCAAGGCCATCGCCTTCTTCACACCTTTTAAAGTGACTGGGGCTGGACCTGTGCTCAGGCCTAGCGTGTGTATAACCCTAGGTTCCAGTACTAATCCTGTAGGAAGAAAAGAAAGAAGAGGAAGAGGAAGAGAAAAAGGGGAAGAGGATGGAGGGAGAAAGATGACCGAAGGGGAGAGTGGGGGAGAAGGGAGAGCAGGGAGAGGGGGAGGGTGAAGTAAGATGAAGAGGAGGGGGAGAGAGTTTGCCCTTTCCAGGAAATCCCTGTGAGATGGACCCATCAGCATTTTGCTGTCACAATGCAGGATTATGAGATAGCTTCTCTGTCTGACTTGCCTTTTCAGAATGCAAGTGTAATAAACTTTGTCTCACCATGATTACTATACACAAACATATGACAATTGCATATTATATTATAAAAAGAAAGACTTAGGTAAGTTATGTTTTGTGCCCACTCTGCTATGACATGCGTATTATTTTCTCTTGTTAATTTTTACATTAGTGATGCCGGGTCAGCTTATTAGGCTTAGAGGTGTCACCTCCAAATTCTGATGGCCTCACAGCAGATCCACCAGCCTTGTCTTTGTTCTAGTTATTCTGCCTGGATTTTCAGGATAAATTCTCTTGCCTGTATTTTACGAGCGTCCACAGGAAGACTGAGCCTTTAAACCCGGTGCTGCTTGCTGAGGGTGTCCACTCAGTAGGTCACTGGCTTTGCTGTCCTTCTCTGTGCCTGCCATCCTCGGGGGTCTCCTTCCAATAGGGAGCACATTCCTGTCCTCCAACAGCTATTTAAACTACAGGGTTAGACTTTGGAGGTGACACCCACCTCTGCATTTTTCTTTCCAGCGTCGCAGGTGAAATGAGGTATAGGACAGTAATTTCTGTGAAGACAGCTACGCTCTTCTAACCATCAGAGACTGAGAGAGAGTAAACTTCCTGAGATGCTCAAGCTGGAGGCCTAATCTCACTTCTCTCACCTTGCTGGTTTAACAGGACTAAACTAGTGTTTTAACTTGAACTTTACAGACACACTTCACACTTTTTGTTTGTTTTGAATTTTTCTTTTCTCTCTCTTCTTTTTCTTTTGAGAGAGTTTCTCTGTATAGTGCTGGCTGTCCTGGAACTCATTCTGTAGTCCAGGCTGACCTCAAACTCAGAGATCGCCTGCCGCTGCCTCCCGAGTGCTGGGATTGAAGGTGAGCAATGACCTACTGACCCAGTCCACTCTTATCTTGAAACTAATGGTGGAAATTTTTAAAGCCCTTTTCAGGTTTCAACTCACAGATCATTAAGAAAATTTAGGATTAAACTATTAACTTCTTAATTTCAATTTATAGTCTGCCGATCTTTCTATCTTCCTCGCATCCACAGGTCCCGGTTTTTTTTTTGTTTTGTTTTGTTTTTTGTTTTTTGTTTTTTGTTTTTTTTTTTTTTTGCAAGTATGCCTTTTCCCCTTCCACACACACAGCTCCGTATTCTGTTTTAAGTTATCCCAAAGCTCCTACTTGTAATTCTTTCAACTCCTTCAAGGGCCATTGTTTCTTCTACCACAACTGTGGGGGAAGGGGATTTGAATATTCCTTCCTGCTGTAAGCCATCTGACTTTGGGCAACATTTTCAATTTAAATTCAAAAGCATGTCTTTGGATATTTGAACCCTGATAAACTCCAGTTCCTTTTGTAAAATGGTGAGAACAAATGCTGGTAGGAAGTGAGGGAAGGGTGTGAGCTTTTTTAATGTTGAGCATGTGACACCTCCAACCTTTGAATGCAATACAATGATTGCATCCTTTTACCTTTAAATATAGGTCCTGTAATTTTGTTTTTATTTTTTGAAAATTGTAAATGTACCTATAATGACCAATAATCATTGACTCACCTTTTAGGAATAATTGATCATGTTATTTAAATGTCTAACACCATTGCATAGATAGATAGATAGATAGATAGATAGATAGATAGATAGATAGACAGATAGATAGATAGATAGATGATAGATTAAAAAGTATAGTAATAAATCCTTTAAGGGTCAATACTAAATTTTAAATCACCGAGGTTTTTTGAACATTTTGGTGTTTACATACAGATGTCTAGATGTCCCATGTCACTTATATTAATTGGTAAAATCTCATTTTTATTGCATGCTGAAGCCAGAAATGTGTTTTCTGAAGACATGCCTCTCTAGTAGTAACAACTGATGTAATTCTTTTCAAGGACACAACAAGCAATGCTACACAAAAGTTACAGAATCTAGCATTGTTCTGTGGCTAGACTGAAAATGTGGGTGTTTTTCAAATTCACGGGTCTGTATATTCTACTAGGCATGTGTGTAATTTACTAAGCTGTGTCCTGAGGACACAGTTACACTATAAATAACCTCATAAACAGCTCAAAATGATGGCAGAAAAAAAATCAACTTTTCAAATCCTAGAAATAACGGACAAGTTTTCATCACCATCGGGAGGAATATATCAATTATGAATTCAAAGAAATAACCATAAACTCTCAAGTCTTTAGCTACAAAGCATATTATTATTTTACTCTTTATGTAACCTAAGACTTAGGGATGGAATCTTTTTCAGTGGTTGAAATCAGAAATGTTATTATTATTCCAACATAAAATTGTGATGGGTGATCAGTACTGATGATCGAAATACGGAAGAGCCTGTTTTCTCTCTGTGCATCTTCCTTCATGTGTAAATAAGCTGTAGCCTCTGTCACCAAGACAGCTTTTCTGCTGGCATTTGGGTCATAGGATGCAGAACTGCAGGTGATGCATGTGTATCTTTGTGGAATGCTGCAGTTGGCTTACAGCATGCCATTTACAGTGGGGTCCTACTTAGCAGAACGTGTCGTGTTCCAGGAACCATTTTCTGCTTTGCAAATGTCCTTTCGGGAGAACTATCATGAGGTCTTTTTCTCTGGTGGCCTCCATCCCTATTGTGTTCATCGCAGCAGCACTGGATTGCATAGAAGAGGCTCTCTGGGTCTCAAGACAAGCACAAAATAGGACACTGGGACATGTAGGACACATGCATGTTATCAAGACTTTCTAATCCAGACTGTCAAATTTCTTAAGGAATACTACAAGTCTAAAGTTCGTCTCTGTGTTTGATGTCCATGTTTGAATGTAAAGTGTTTCTTGAAGTTGAATACTTATCCTAAGATATCCTTATAAAAGTGAAATGTCCGTTTAAACTCTCTATTATTTGTTGGAGCAGTTTTTCTTTGTTGTTAATAAGAATTAGTGTGTGCTCCACAGAGGATTTTTTATAATTATTATTATTTTGAGATGTGTCTGTTTAGAGCATGAAGCGAATTAACTAGCAGGTATCCAGATAATTTTTATCAGTGTAGGTAGAATGACCACATATCATCCTCCCAGAGACCTCTCCTGCCTTCCTTTTCTCAATATGTTTCCCAATAATTTCCGCACAGTTAATTCTCAGAAGAAAAAAAATAGTTCCAGATGCCCAGTTCAGTAAGTCAAAGAGCGAACCAACGCAAATAAGAGAGGTACTCTATATGTGAAGTTAGTTTCTTAGTAACACCCGGTGAAGAATTTAAGGGTGAACAGGCCTTGGCCAAATACTCCCAAATGCTTGCCTTCCTGGTCAGCTGTAAGGCGTGAGTGTGATGGCTACTTCTGTCCTGTGCCCCTGAGCCTGCTCTTGCCAAAAGGGTCCTGTTGTCTGCCATTGCTCTCCCGACAAGTTAAGTTGCAGAATGGTGACAGATTTTCATTCAGTATTTTGGGTGTACCCAGAAAGAGGCATAGGAAGCATGGTGCACCCGACTGTGTGCTTCGGAAGGGTGTTTGCCTTATGACTGACAGTCTCTCTCTGTCTTTTCTTCTGTAGCAGTTCTATGCTGCCCAGCTAGCCGCAATGCAGGTTTCTCCAGGAGGGAAGCTCCTAGGCCTACCCCAGGGCAACCTTGGTGCTGCCGTGTCTCCTACCAGCATTCCCACAGACAAGAGCACAAACAGTCCACCACCCAAAAGCAAGGTACCCTCTTCAACAAGCTCATCTCTCTTTCCTTGGGCTTCTCCTGGTCACTCAGTGGTGTTTGCTGAAGGTCTCATAGATTCCAGCCACTGGGCTAAACTCAGGGTGTTCATGGAGGTAAGACTTTTAGAAGGAGCAACAGTTGTATGTGTAAATTTACATTTCTAATACTTGACTTATTCACTCCACAAACGTATTGATAGTTATGAGAATCTGAAGTGTGCATCTATGAACCAGTGAGTTTATAGCCTTAAAAGCAGATATCTATAAGCAATCCAATAGCCGTCCTTTATAATCTAAAGACTAATCAATAATAAAGTCCACAAAGCCTTATATGGATAAAAGTACATTAGAATTTATTAGGAAGAGAGAGCAGCTTCGGCAAGAAATGCAAACGTTTGCCAAGGGATAAACAATTGAAATAGAAACTTAAGTATGAGGAGAATTGAGACATATGGAGTGTTTCTTAAAAACTATCAATAACTGTTATAATGCGTATGGGAATGGCATAGCTGTAATTTTAGATATGCCATCCATCCACCAAGATTATCATGTAAAGACATGAAGATAGTAATAGTGTTGGGAGACTATTTAAACACGGTTCTGGCTTTAGAGCCTGGAGACATTTCCTTAGAACATGGGGGAAGGCTGGGGGGATTCAAGATGAATGCCTCTTAGAAAAGAGCAGAGAGCCTTGGGGGAAAAGTCTTTGTATGTGCAGATTTTACGTGTATGCTGTTGTGTGAACACATTAAGCTTTCTGTGACGTGAGTGTGGCTAGCCAAATGGTGATGGTTTCTGGGGTTATTCACAAAAATAACTGCAAATATTTAACTTTATTACAAAATACAAACCAGAAAATTGACACCGCTAATAATTTTTCCACAAAACATCTTTCTTAGTTGTCTAGAAACATGCTTTTGTCTTCCACTCTATGAAGGAGGCATGAGACTATCTTAGGGGAGTCCAGGTGGAGCAAGCACAGAGTGTGGGAATGAAGGAAACGAGGAAGGCTCATCCTGAATGGGAGGGGCGCTCAGAGCATCAGCTTAGTTGCTGTCTAACTCCATAGTGGAGCCTGGAAAAGGGACCACTGGGTCAACTATTAAAGAGAACACATTTGTGCATGAGCTTAACCTGACAGAGGAGCTGCGACCATGGCTGGGGAAAACCCTGCACACCGCCGCACCGCAGGGCGGGGACATATGCCACGTTCAGGTCACAACTGCTGTTTGGAGGACCTCACACACTCCTTGCTTAATGTTTAGGGCTCGACTTGTTCCTCTTTATCATCTGGACACACGGGAGATGTCAAAGCTCCGAGGCAGTTATAACAGTTACCAAGGGTGATTTCTAAAGTGCTGGTATTCTGATGGCTCCCGTGCTAACTATTTTAAAGGGTTAGAGTTACAGAGACATTTTAAGCGAAACAAAGACACAGCAGTGGAGTCCTTGCTACACACAGACTTTGCTTCTTCCCCTTGCTGTGTGTGCTGCCCATCATATTACTATCCACGACAATGCTTTCCATTAGAGTCTGCCTCTCAGTACTGTAGACTGATTCTGTTTTATAAGATTAGTGGATTTCCCCTTACTTCTGGGTGAACTCTTTATCATTAGTATCTTCTCAACCCACTCACTTAATACAAATAATGAAGAAGCGTTAAATGCCAGACAGCCTCTTCCATCTTTGCCTCTGCTCAGTCCCCAGCCATTCATCCATCTGTCCATCCATCAGCAGGCTGGCTGGCATTCGCTACAAGGGTGTTCCCATAGGTAACAATGGCAAATGTCAAGGCCACTGAAGTCTCCTTTGTTGTGAATGGGAAAGGACTGAGCAAGCCAAGCGGTTTTATGTACTCACGAAACCCTATGGATTCAACACCAAAGAGAACAGTGGTTTCAGCAGGGTTAAAATTCTTCTAGATCTTAGTTTTTTATGTCTCTATTCAGTTCACAGAGTGAAAGAGTAAGAGTGTTTTTCAGTTACCACGAGTCACAGGAAATAAACATATATGCTATAGTTTATCTTTGAAGTGTAATTACTTTTTAAAAGTCAGCCTTCATGACTTATCTATCACATAAAGCTTTGTGGGTGCTCCTCTTCCCACCCACACTTAGAGCACATATAAAAGATTTAACTGAGCTCTTCCAGTAGCAACAATTTAATAAAAATGTGTGTCCCTTGCCCAGTGTCCTCTAGCATGCTGCCTGTCACTACTTTGGTTGTCAGAAAGAAATTCCAAAATATGATGATGTTTATATAGTTCACAAAAAAACACAGGGAGTTAAGAAGAGCCGTGACACCAAGTCACATTATTTGAATGTAGCTCTCGAAATTGCCACTGGTAATACAGAAACAGAACCCACTAGTTCTCTCCTAGCTTAGAAATGATGTTTGCACATCGCATGATGGATATTGTGACTCCACAGAGCTAATTTATTCAAGAGCATCATTTATTAGCATATTTGTTTTAAGACAATCAGCTACCAGTATCTTGGGGATGTTTTCTGTGTGTTTGTGTTTTTCGTTGGTGCCAGTTTCTTTGCCTGGCTTTGTGCATACCTGCTTGGCATAACGGGAATTGATGGCTTGCATTACCAGTATATTTACTCTTTGGAGCAGTGGAGTTGCATGTCCAATTTAAGGGGTGACTGATGAACAATGCTCCTACGGACAGCTGTCAAAAATGAAGGGTGCATTCTGAGTTACACCAGCTACCCTCCTCCTGGATGGACCATTGCCTCTGACTCCCAACTCCAGAGGACACCAGCAAAACTTATTTGCAATTTGCAAAAAGAAAAAAAAACCAGGGAAGGGGGAATCAAAAGGAGGGGCTCCAAAAGACTGTAAAATTGTGCAGCATGAGTCCTCTGATTCATGCTGTTTTCAATCTGCTGTGTGCCAGTTGGAGGCTCAGGGAGTGTGTGCGCGCGAGAGAAAGGATAATGCTGAGAAATGATAGAGAGGCTGCGACCTCCGAGCTCAGCCTGGAAATCCAAGACATTGATTTCACTTAGCATTCCTGCTGAGAGATCTGGCGGAGTTCAGTTGTAATAAAAGAACAAGATTCTCTTCTAATGGTAATGGCGTATGACAGACGTATCACTTTGTCTGTCCTCAGCACCAGAGAGAGCAGGATTGGAGAAAGGTCACCTGACCTGCCTGGGGTGTTGTACAAGTGCTACACTGAGCTTTGAACTGCTGCCTAGGAACATAATTATTTATAATATTAAATGATAAAGAGAGCTTTAGAGGACTCACAGTGCATGTCTGAAAGCTGCATGCAGGAACTGCATTTTGTAACAGAGAAAATTCTACATGAAGTCTGGTCTATTCCAAGTCTGCCTTTGAGAGCACTGGCGTTCCTGTCCTTGATGTCACTGCTTAGGAAATGTCCTCATCAATGCCTGAAGTGGTATTGCTGGCTAATGTTGTAAAGTCTAATTAGTAACATGCCGTGTGTCTGTGTGTGTATGCGTGTCTCTGTGCGTGTGCACACGTGTGTGTGCATCTGTGTGTATGCACAGTGTTGTAAAGTCTTGGCTTAGTTAACGTATGTGTGCGCACAATGATTCAAAGTCTTGGCTTAATTAGTAACATAGTATGTGTGTGTGTTTGTGTGCTTGCATAAGCATGTACATGTGTATGTGTGTGCACAATGTTGAAAAGTCTTGGCTCAATTAGCAACATGCCGTGTCTGTGTGTGTGTGTGTGTGTGTGTGTGTGTGTGTGTGTGTGTGTGTATTCAGTGGCTCATCTACTATCAAAGAGAGTATAATGGTGAATTAAAACCATGGGCAAGTTCCAACATGTCCACAGCACTTTGGGTCTTTTTAAAAGCTTGGACTCTTACCTTTTCCCTAGGTTTTGAATTCTTTCCTGCAGCTCCCACTTGACAACCATCTCTCCCACGAACCAACAAAGGCAAATAGATTTATTGAGCTCCTCACCAATGTTCTCCGAGCTTACATGCAGCTCTATGGCTAAATGTTGGCAAATAACAAGGAATAAAACTATAAAATCTCCAACTTCTGTACTAGAGATTCTGCCTTCCAGTACAAAGGAATGCTTAGCATACTGTTGTATGATGCTGGAACTTGAATCTTGCTGCAAATATGCTTGCATGCCTTAACAAATGTTTAAATTTGTTTCCGGTCTAGACTCTGCCACCAAGCAACTGATATAGGTAGGACGTGTTTAGCATTTCACTTGTTAGTAGCATACATTGTTAATTTAAATCCCTTTCTGGATAACCAGTAGCATCTTTTGAGATCCCCGCCAGGCTCTCCACAGAAGAATCCTTCTCTTTATTGGTTGGGCTAACTGTCTAAACTTTAGATTTTAAGTGATTTTTTTTTCATTGTAAATGTAGTCACCTCTTGGGGAAATCTGAGGGACAACTTGTACATGCTATTATCGAGATCTCTCCGTATTTGATGGAAAGGGGTGTATCTCCAGCGGCCACCAAAACCAGTTAGCTTTAAAACCTTTCAACAACAGAGAATTCCTGGGTGCTTTTCTCTTAACCTCACTGTGACCCTCCTCCAGCCGCCCCACTCCCCACAGTCAAGCCTTTGTGGATGGCAAGAACACACAGATTGTCCAAATCAGGATTTCTGTTGCTGTTGCTCCTGTTCTTTTCAAATCCTTTTCTGGCAGGGATGCCCCATTTGCTCAGCAGTAGCACCTGGAAGTCACGACAAGGGAAAGAAACGCTTGTCTGACAAAGCCAAAGCGCCCCGGCCAGCTGACCAGATACAATCGGATCCTTGCTGCGGCAATATCCTTGTAAATACCGCTTCAGTTGCCGAAGCAAGAGCTAGAGCTTCGTGGATATCTGATCCACTCTCACAGAAATGAAGTCATCTTTTCCTACTTGGTGGCTGTGTGCGTGTGGGGGTCGTATCTTTGCTGCCAGTGGCTTGTATCAGACACCATCCTATTAATGGTGCCAGTCACACACTGGGAGGCTACGAAGTAAACGCTCCCCATATACTGATCTTCAGGGATGAGTTTGTACAGCACTCATAAGCCTGATATACATATTCCCAAGATGATTTATTGCTCAGCTGAGAGGGTGACATCTTGATTGAAGACCAGTTATGATACATCTGGAAAATGACAGCATTTTTAGTGACTCGAGACAGGTATTTATACTGCCAAGTGGGAGAGAAAGGAAAATATGAACGTGAACTGACAGTATCCGGTCCTAATCAAGACTGACCAGCAGTACCATAAGCTGTCACATTGAGCACTATTTGATGCTGTTGCTTTATTTATTTTTGTTTGTGTGTGAATGTGTGTGTGTGTGTGCAAATGTGTGTGTGTGTGTACATGCTAGGTTTTTGTTTGTTTACTTGCTTGCTTGTTTAGTTTTTTTTTTTTTGTGGGTTTTGGTTTTTGAAACAGGGTCTCAAGTAACACAGGCTGGACTCAAACTTGCTTTGTGACCCAGACAAGCCTCAAACTCCCGTTCCCCCCACCAGCACCTGCCAAGTGCAGGGATCACAAGCATAGACTGTCAAGCTCAACCTGTTTTCTTTCTTCTTACTAAAGTTTACTAGTTTTTACTGATAGGACAGAAGGATCCTTTAAATGTACAGCTCACAACCTCGGGAGATTTCATGAGTCTGAGGTGGACCGGGAAGAGCTAAGGCCACCACAGGAGTCTTCCCAGGGCAGGGCGACACATTCAAAGCCCACCGCTCGGTGTAATGCCCCAGGCCTTGACTGGCTTTCATGCCTCATACAGCCATGGGAATGGCTGAGGAGTAAGGGTTCTGCAAGTATTACTTGGAATACGTAGAGGCCCTCCGAGTGTTTCCAAGAATGTGCTGTTCTGCTTAAACTCTCCTCCTGATTTCCAGGTCCATCCGTATCTCAGAACCATATCATCCAAACTCACCATCAGGGCCAGCGTTGGCCTTGGGCTGCTGGATCAGGGAGTCGGGCACTGTAAAGAGATGAGGGGCTGTAACTAATCACTGCACACCAGGGTCAAACAACGCCATGGCACCACCTTCAAATTGTGGGGCCTGGGACTTTTGAACATCCGATCTCTCCTCCGACTTCAGAGCAGAGGAGTTGTTGAGCCCCAGCTGATTGATGCAGCATTGGGGCTGGGCAGCCGTTTCAGCCACTCGCTGGGAAGCTGGTTAAATACCAGTGTCCCTCGGGACCCTGCCCTGTGAGAAGCGTGTATTCTGCAGGAAAGCTGGTGCACTCCCCACCTTCACTGTATATTCCAGCGTATGCGACTCGATTGTTCTTTGAATGTCAGATGCATCACGCTTGCATGGTGCGTTCATCTCAGTTACCCCATAGAGCCGAGCTGTCACCGTGGCCCTTATTATTAGCACTTCCTGGGTGGGACAGATTTATGATACATAAAACATCACCACCCTGTGATTTTAAATAAAGCGGTTTTCTTTTTGCGGTCCCTTGCTACTGAACTGGAACATGTTAAATGAAATGTTAGCATTTAACCCCTGGGAGGAGTCCTGCCCCTCCCTTTCCATCTGTGTTCAATCAGAGGGAATCTTCCCGCAGCTCAGTGCTTAACCGTAGGCATTCTCAGCTCCAGGGCCATAAATGTCCAAACAGGTCACCCGGCAATATATTCTCAGGACTAAGAAAAGGGACAGTAGCCATGTTCGTGGCGGGAAAACAACACAAATTATAAAGCAAAGACAGACTTCTTCCAACCTGTGCCTTACCTGTAAAGGGAAACCAGCCAGGGGCGGCCGATGCAATGCCCTTTGCATCCCTTAACCTGGGCTCTGCTGGTATTCTGATTTTGTTTAGAATCCTTTGAGTCTCGAACACAGCATGGCAAGGCACGTCAAATCTCTTTAATAACACAAACCACAGGAAAGAAAGGCAGTTGAGTATGAGAAAAGTCCACTCAGCAGTATTTGATAAATGACGGTAGTCCTGCCAATCTGGCTGTATCCAGAGGAGAGTCTCGACAGAAAAGCAGCATGTTCAGAGCCGTGGAATGCAGGCAGGGCGGGGCGGTGATACCTGCATCAGTCGGGGAAGGGCAGATGGAGGAGTGGAGAGGAGGAGGCAGACTGAACAGCGCAGCAGAGATGTCCGGTCTTTCCTGCTGGAGACAGTGCGCAGGGCATGCTCGTCGGTCCTTCCTCTGGGGGACTCACGCCTGGTCTCTACTTCTGAAAACATACGTGCAGACGCTGAAATGGTTCCACATCCTCCACAGTTGATGAGGCCTTCATTAGGCGCTGGCGATCGATGCCTTTCCATCCTGTTCAGACAGTGCAGGCGGTCACCGTTGCACTAGAGAAAGAAGTTCTGAATCTTCAGCGTTGATCTCTTTACCAGTCTGCGTACCTGCTGCTTAGACATCCCTTTTCACAGAACAGAAACGTTTCAGTGGCCTTTCTCACACACGTGTCCTAAGTTGGCAGCCAACTAATATTGTTTAAGTTACTGGAAAAGAGTATACATGTTTGTGCGTTTGTTAGATTTCTGACTTTCCTCTCGAAAGAACAAAGATTACTACTAATGCTTTCAAATGTCACATAACAGAATGAAAATAAATTAATATGGTCATTAAATAGAGGGAGACGCAAGAGTCCAAGCCACAGAAACAGAACTCCCTACGTGTAAGGTGGACAGCGGCAGAGCTGAGCCGTCCAGAAGGCTTTGTGAGGAAACGCGACATTCTGCTCAGGAAGACCCAATGAAAGGAGGGAGAGAAGACGTCTTGTCCAGTACACACTCACCCAGGCACGAGGCCTTTACACTTCTACCTGGACTCCTGGGATGACAGGGACCCACTGCGCCGCCCAGCAGAACTGCCTAATTCAGAGCAACTTCCATTATCACAAGGTCTTTTCTTCGGCAGAGCCTAGCCAGTTTTCTGGGATTTTATCTTTTCTGCTGTGTAAAAGACAGCATGGTCATTCACAAGTGACATGGAAGTCCAATCCAAACTGGATCAAGTTGGATAGAGCAAGAAGGAGAAGTCCTCACTCACATTGCCATCTAGTTATCCTAACGTCTCAGTCGGGAGCCCTGACAAGACCGTGTCGAGTTGGTTGTTCCTCACCTCTGTTCTTTCACGCATCTCCTCCCTTGTCAGTGTTCCTTAGCTCCTGGTGCGTGCTTGCATCAGCTGCCCATGGAGTCTTAGTGAATCCGTGGTTGGCTACGGTCGACACACTTGACTCCAGGCAATAGCACGGCAGCTGCCAATAAAGCCCCCTAATCTCTTAAGATACGGCAATTTGGTGGGGAAAAGCAGAATATAAGCCATTAAGTCAGAAGCTTCTTGTATCAAAGAAATAACAATGGTCAGGAGGAGTGAGTGGGGACAGAGGAGGAGCCTCTTGCGAAGCTTGGTAGAGGGAGTCACTTATCTGACTGGTACTAGGAGGAGGAAGAACTTGGCAGTGGAGGACGAAATGACATTCTGGGCATACTTCCTTCTTAGTTAATTTAATTGTTTTAGAAATTTCATACATTTGCAGTATATTTGTGTATTTCTGTTGTTCCCAAGACTCCCTCTCCCTCCCCCAGTCCATCTTATAATCCCCCACTCCCTTTCAAAATCTTGAATATTACTTTAATTATCAGTACACACACTGTATATATATGTATACACACACATATACACATGTCCAGGTATGTGTAGAGCCCACCGAGGGCATTTAACATTGCTCCTTTGTACTGTGTCTAGGGCTGACACTTGGGATTGGACAACCTGTCAGGGGCTATGGTTTCCTGTCACTCTTCTCCTGGGGCGGGGTCTTGCGAGGCTTTCCCCTTTCACAGTAGGGGTGCCCCATTTTCAATGGTGTTGTAGCAGTGCAGATCTGGTTCAGGCAGCCACACGGTTGAGGTTTCACGAGTGGGTGCAGCTCCCCTGTCGTGTCTGGAAGTCACCATATCACAGCAGATATCACAGTCCTCTGGCTCTTGCTGTCCGTCTTCCTCTTCTCCCAGATGTTCCCTGAGCCTCTGTCACGGTTCTCAGCAAACTGCAATAATTATGTAGACACGGTTCGCCTTTCTTAGGGCAGTCACAGAAAACTTTGTGCCCAAGGCAAAACATTTTTTTTTTTACATTTTAAGCTCCCAGGCCAATGAATTAATATTTGAATCATCTCTCCAAGTCATCCTTAGGAACACTGTAGAATGTGAGCACTACTGACATCCATTGCCACTGGAGGGAAAAGGCAATTTGGTTTGACAAATATGCATTGATTGTCACATCCTCGTCCATTGGAGTCCTAGGAGCTGAAGATGCGCAGTACAGTTGATCTCCACAGCGCGGGCCCATAGTGCCAAGGTGACCAAGGGATACAGAGAGGTCATTGCATGAGTTTACAGACAGGGGCAGGTTTTTGTCCAGCCTGTAATATTTCCCGTTTTATTTTTTAGGATTTACTTACTTTACCAAGACTGTTGTTGTTACTAATATTTCCTATTAAAAATGCAATCGATGGTTTTATAACCACCTCTATGAAGGAAATTGTAAGGTGTTCTTTAGTAGTACTAGTTTGATACTAGCATGAATATAGTATTGATTTCTACACACTCAATATAAACAAACAAACAAAGACAAAACCAAACTTTTTGTTGCTCAGGGGCCAGGTGCCATGTGAAGTTCTGGTAGTGCTAGCGCCTCCTTGAAACAGGAAAATCACAAGTTCAAGGACAGCTCAGCTACAGGCTGAGATCCAGTCTAAACAACAAGCGCTGGGGATGTGGCTCACTGAATGGGTGCTTAACTAGTTAGTAATGCAAGGCAAGACCCCGAATTCAATGTCCAGCAATGGAATAACTGTAATTGCTGTAAACTCATGCTTAGTAGAGTTTCGGGATACTCTTGCATGGTGCTGGCCTGGAGAGATGACTCAGCAGTCAAGAGCATGCTCTGCTCTTGCAGAGGACCTGAACTGATTCCCATACAAAGTCAAAATCCACTTTCTGAGCATGTCTATTTCAAATAGAAAGATAGATCGATAGATCAATAGATCAAAAGATAGACAGATAGATAGATAGATGATAGATAGATAGATAGATAGATAGATAGATAGTAGATAGAAGATGCTGTTGATGTAGATAGGTGATAGATATAGACAGATACATCAACATATATAGTATGTATGTTGATGACATATTATATATGGCATTTGAATGATATATATGATTTTCATTTATATAAAACTTGATAACCTTAGTATGATTTTGATAACACCCATGATGTAAACAGACCTTTAGCTATCCCTACAAAGATGATCGACTGGCTAAAGATACACCTTAGCAGTTCAGAGTAGGCACTATTCTTACATAGGACCAGACACTGGTTCCCAGGGCCCACCTCTGTGGCTTTCAGTCACCTGTAACTCCAGGGCTAATGCTCTAAGACCGTCTTTTGGCTTCTGTGGCACATGCCTACACACACGCACATAAATACCCATGCACACATCAGAGTCACATGATTAAAAGTAATGGAAATGAAAACTTAAAAATAGTAGTTAGTGAAAACTTTGCTTCTCCCTTAAATTACTGCGCCAGAAATGATTTTATGAATAATAGTTCATTTTTTGTCATTATGATGAGCTTGAAGTCTCCTAAACTGACTCTACTTCTGTAGGAGAACATTTTTCTTTCAGAATCTTCTTTGTGAGTCCTGAGTTGTGGCCTCGCCTCCCTTCTCCTTTCCCTCAGTTATAAATGTGTCATGAAGCCATGCAGTATGCAATGCCACTCAGTTACACACATGCACATGCATACACACATATGCAGACACATGCACATACATGGACACACACACACTGGGTTATTGAAATAGCTTGGCAGTTAAGAGCACTTACTGCTCTAGTCGAGGACCCAGGTTTGACTCCCAGCACCTACACGGTGGCTCATAACCACCTGTAACTGCAGTTCCAGGGCTCCTGCCTCTTTAGGAACTGCATACATGCGGGCGCTCACAGAGACAAAAGTAAACGAATCTTCAACCACATACATACTTAGCAAAAAACCTTCTATAAAGGTTGTATAAAGTATCTACAATGACTTTTTGGTCAGAAATTAATATGACTTATTGAAAGACTTTCAGATGTCCTCAGTATTTATTTTGTCTCACTGATATTTTACATATGAAGACACAGCCATGTCTGCTCTATCATATTATATTCCACAATGTGAATTCTTTTCAGAAATACTTGCTTTCTATCCACTCTTGAACTTACAATGTGGAGGCAACATTAATTATACAAAGTTCATTTGAAGAGACAGAGTCTCACTGTGTGTCCCTGCCTAACCTGGAACACTCTCTGAGGACCTGGCTAGCTTTAAACTCTCAGAGACCCTCCCAACTGCATCCCCAAGTGATGTACAGGGCCTCATCAAAAAAATAGGAAATATCTTAATCTAGACAATCTAGAGCCTGAAAACTCCCAACAATGAAGTTCTGGACCACTATGTGCCATTTTTATTATTGCTAATACAAATGGAAGGACACAGTTATTCGTGTGTGTGTGTGTGTGTGTGTGTGTGTGTGTGTGTGTGTGCATACAGATCCGAAAATTCATGATTTGATTAGCATCATATGTGGATGCTAGTAACTGTGAGTGTGGAGTCTCCTCAGCGTGGTCTGGGGAGTTTGACAAGTTGAAGCCCATCCTCGAGGGTTTCTAAATTCTGAGACCTGTGAATTCTAAATTCACAACACCATGTGACCTAGATAATACTTCTAAGATTCAGAAGTGAAAAACAATGCTTAAATTCTTCCTCTAATTATCTATTTAATATTCTGTTTATCCTGAGTTAAAGTTTAACTCACTGAAATTTGAGCCCTGTACCTATTCTTTAAGAAGTTTGTTCTCCCTAGCTTGTACCACTGAAACTGCTGAGAGCCCAGTCGTCAGTTTGGAAAGTAGCATGCCTATGCAAAAGGAGTGTTTCTAAATGTCCGGTTATTCAAGGTTTTGCTGAGCTGGTATCACTTACCTGAGATAGACAGGCAAGAATGTGCGTTTCTTGCGTGTAATCTAATTGGACCTTGTTGGACTTACAGCACCTCCCTCGTGAGCCGTAGGATATAAAGGCACAGTTTCCCTCACCCTCAACAGGTTCTCTCCCAGCTCTGCACCAGCAGCTGAAGCAGTGTTCTTACAACTTTGTTTTCCTGGAGTTAAAGATGAGATGTTTCTGTCTCTATCCAGACAACAATATAAAAATTAATTTTTCAAGTTATATACTATCAAAATAACGAAAAATTGGGAACACTTAACTAGATACAAACTTACCATCCTTCAAATTATTTGCTACTTGCAAGCATATTTGATAGTATCATGTTCTCATAAAAACCACAAAATCTGTGGACGGCAGTTCTGATACACTGTATATTGTAAAGTGTATTTCCTGGACACTTCTACTGGAAACCTGCATTTAAACCACCTTCAAAAGAACCAAGGGACCAAATTTCCTACCTAGTCTATTTTATAATTTCTATTTTATAATTTGGGCTTTGATGCTGTACAGTTTTGATGGCTTTGTGGATATTTTATAAATAGGGGAAAAAGAAATTGGGGGCAGAGAAAGAATGGATGAAATGTTGCAAAAATAAAGTTTCTCTTGTATCTTATTCCAGCAGCACTGAAGTAACAGGAGCAGAAACACTGTTGGGCCATGCACTTTAGAAAGCGTGGTGACAGCGACAGGGGTGTCCATAAACGGGTACAGATTTGTGTTTTCTGTGCTTTGCTCTGGAAGCCGTTGGAGGATCAAAGTTTCATTTTAAGTCGGCAGGAGCCGGGTACTGAGGTCAGCCGTGTGTGTATACAGGGCAAGACAGGAATTCTGGGTCAAACAGTGGAATGTTTTAGAGTCAATTTTCCTATGGAACGTGCTACCACTTACCTAAAAAATGAGGGTTCTGATCCAGCTTTGAGGAAACAGCTGAGTAATCATGTTGTTTTCCATCAGAATTAAAAAATTTGCACCAAACTAGAATTCTGATCTGTTACATGCAGGAGAATAAGTACTTGGAATCACATCAATAAAGAGAGACCTTAGGGAAGGTTGGAGAGAGGGCTCAGTGTTTAAGAGCACTAGCTGTTCCTCCACTAGACCTGGGTTCAATTCCCAGTGCCCTCTCAACCATCTGTAACTCTGTCCGGAGATCCTGTACCTTCTTCTGACCTCCACAGGCATGGTGCACACACATGGTACACAGATATTCTTGCAGGTAAAACACGCATACAAGTAAAATTAAAGTAAAATCTAAATTAAAACACCAAGTGAGTAGACAGAGACCTAACCCGTAAAGAGGAAGCAGAGCCGCATCCATTTAAGTGATTGGCCCTTGACGTGCTCAGTAAACATTGACTGGAGTAAATGTTTGTGTTAAAGCAATCCAGTAATAACAAGAAGCGAACCATTAGCTACCACTGTGTATTATTTGAGGTTTTACCATAGCAGTCTTTGAAAAGCGGTATCTATTAGTACAACCTGATTTAAGAGAACGTGTCAATTCAGGGATTTTTTTTCTAA